GTAAAAACAGACTAAATACTTTTTATCTAGGATTCTTGATACTTACCTTTTACCTATTACTACCACCTCTATCTTCTTTCTGAATTAAATTTCAGATTGCTCCTTGTCCATTCTCCATCTAAATTCAATAAAAACAAATGAGTGTTAGTCACATAAATACAATGACATCCACAAACAAAAACCCTTTGATATATTTTTAACACATCAGGTTTACGTAGAATTTTCGGATTTTAAAACATGATAATTAATTATGCGCAATAGTCTTTTTCTTTCCTAAACTAACTTGTAGCTTCAGGTGATAAAAGGAAGTTCCCTAAGAGATTAAGAACAACAAATAACAATTACAGAAACTCAAAATACAGTAACTTCAATATTAAGAACTGAGTAGCCTGGCTCACTTTCCCCACACCCCCAAAAATGTAACTTTGTTTTAAATTTAGGAAAATTACAGGCATTTACTTACTCCTAATACGCAGCCTAAGGAGCTCTGGTAGCATAATGGTTACGAATCGGGCTGCGAACCGCAAGGTCAGCAGTTCAAAACTACCAGCTGTTACATGGGAGAAAGATGAGGCTTTCTGCTCCCGTAAAGATTTACAGCCTCAGAAATCCTGTACAGGGTAGCTACGAGTCAGAAACTGACTCCATGGCACTTTACAACAACAACAACAATATGCAGCCTAACTACACTAAATAGAACTGTTTTTAGTCACACATAAACAGTTGTTAACATCATGGATAGTGTAGTGGATTTGGAGCTGGGCTCCTAAGGGCTCCTGTGGAGCAAGTAGCTGATGGGTTTGAACTGCAGATCACGTGGTTAGCATTCCAATGCTAATCCTACAGCACCACCAGGGCTCCTTTAGTTCATACAAGCAAGGGTTTATTCCAAACAAAATGTGTTTAAACATGTCTCTGTGATCAGCGGATGGCTGCAAAAAAAATTCTCTCAGTAACATGCTCAGTCTTGTTAAGAGAACCTTCAAAAAAAAGGATAGTAAAGGAAAAGTGCTGAGTGATCAACTAGCTCAAAGACCTGATCTTTCCATCAGTCTTTTAAGCAAGATCGAAGCTAACTAACGTAGACGGCTTTATGGAATGAATTGAAAGCAGAGATTAGTTTTGGAGTTACCAATATAATCCAGAGAACAAGGTCTAGTCAAAATCATGGCTTCCAAGGGGCCATTTAGGCTGAGAGGTTAGCTCAGAAGGTTATAGCAAAGGTCTTTTGGGATTTCAAGGGGTCATCTTGATTTGGGGGGATTTCTGGGATCACACAGGATGATCCCAGAGGTGTATTAGGAAGAAATTTTAAGAAAAGGGAAAACTACATTGACGAGGAAAAAGCCAGGAAAGTAGCGCTAAGGATATTTTCCCTTATCGTGACAACATACCTGCTCATTCTTGAAGAGTAGCAAAGTCTGTCCTAAGAGAGTTTCATTAAAAGTATACCCCATTCACCCTACAGCCCTGACCTTACCCCTTCAGATTTCTTTTTGCTCCTGAAACTCAAAGAACATTTAATGAGAACACAATTTAAGTCCTTTGATGATGCCAAAACTGCCGTTTTGATGTAGAGTAAGTAAAAAAGCACAGTATTTTTCAGGGAAGGATTAGATAAATAGAAGCACCTCCTTCCGAAGTATGTGAACCCAGTTAGAAGGTATTTCAAGACACAATAGCTTCACATTTTCTTATTTTTGTTTAAAAAGGTTTCCATTACTTTGTAGCAATGTTGTTGGTTTTTTTCCCCCCCCTTTCCCTTGTATATATGCAACCAATCCTATAGTTTTTCAGACAGGAGAAAGGGAAAAAAGAAAAGAAGCAAAGCTAGAAGGCAAGAAACGTCCTACAAGAGCTTTACCATGAGTAAAGGCCTATAACACTGAAGACAGTGACAGACTCAGCAGGGCTCCTGCAGCAGAGCCAAAAAGGAGGAGGCCAAAGACAGAGAGACCTCCTGAGAGGACTGAGAAGAAGCCTGTCCTCAGGTGACTGAAAGAAGGCCAGTCCTGAGGTGGTCCAGAGGAGGTGTGCATGGCAGAGAGAACCAACGGCCTGACTGTCTGCACAGCTGAGAGGAGCTGTCCTTCACTGAAGATGGCCCAGCTGTCCTTGACTTTTGCCTGTATGCTTCTTGATCCTTATAATAAGTTGTACCCTGTAGCTTCCTTAACAAACCACTTAACTGTTAACTATGGTCCATAAGTTTTGTGTGGCATTGAAACCAATTATTAAATTCTCCAGAGAAAGAGTGCCATGGGAAGGTTGGCTGATATTAAAATTGTTTTTTTTTAAAAAAAAAAGGTAGGAGAGTAGAGGCAAATGTGACCTTTGCCTCATAGGAATCAGCTTTGTGCTGATCATGATTCTCATTATCCCCCTGAAATTAAACAGGCTCTACTACTGTTGTCAAGGAGCTCCGGTAGCATAGTGGTTATGAATCGGGCTGCGAATCATAAGGTCAGCAGTTCGAAACTACCAGCTGTTCCGCGGGAGAAAGAAGAGGCGTTCTGCTCCCGTAAAGATTTACAGCCTTGGAAACTCTGTATAGGGTCACTATGAGTCGGAACCAACTCCACGGCACATAACAACAACTACTACTTTCAAAATGAAATTTTTTCATGTAAAAGTGAAGAGAAATGTATTAATGGTTAAAAGGAGAGAGAGATAGAATTCAGCTCAACATAAAAACTTAATCATTAGAATGTAGTGGGCTTTCTCAGAGGAAGTGTGTTTTCTATCACTGCAGATGAAAACACAGAGGCTGGACACCCACTGAGCAAGAATGTTGCAGGACAAATTGAATGTCAGATAAGAAGGAAGACTTAGAAGCCACTTAAGATTCTTTCAATGCTATGTTTCTGGAGCCCTCAAATATCTATCTTGCTCCAACCCACAACAGCATCTGCTCCCATCATCCTGACCCAGAATTCAGAATACATTTCCTATGTAAATATGGAAAGAGAGCGCACATACAGTTTACAGAAAACAATACTATATTAAATACCGTTTTTAGGAATCCAAATGTCAGTCAACCTGGTTTCCGCAGTTACATGTATTCTACTTTCCAAATTAACTCAACGAATCCTGTTCACTAGGGAGCTTTGTTGTCGTTATTGGTATGTACCGTGGAGTCGGTTCCAACTCATTGTGGGTGACCCTGTACAGAGTTTCCGAGGCTGTAAATCTTTAAGGGAGCAAAGCCTCATCTTTCTCCCACGGAACAGCTGGTAGTTTCGAATTGCTGACCGTGAGATTAGAAGCCCGATTCGTAACCACTCCGCTACCAGAGCTCTAGAGAACTCACTTGTATTATTTTCATACTGTATTATCATTTCATATACGTTTTTTGCATCTCTAGTGTAAATTCCTTGTTGTTGTTAAGTGCCTTTGAGTTGGTTCCGACCCAAAGCGACCCTGTATAGGGTTTCCGAGAAACAGCTGGTGAGCTTGAACCGCCGACCTTGCAGTTCAAATGGCTTTGCAGTCTGGCGCATTAACCCACAGCGCCACACCAGGAAATTCCTTGTAGACAGGGAGTAGTATTGTTTATATTTCTGAATACGTTCACTATCATTTAGCACGCTGCTTGATTAACAATTCTGTTTCAGCTAATAGTAACTAAACTCATTGATTTGACATGAACTTTTGTAATGAACGTTTTTGTAGGGAGTTAGGGCAAGTCCTGCTTAGATTGTACCCTTGTGTAACTTTGAAGTCATTGAAACTCTCCAAGTTTCAGTTTTCCTAACAGAAAAATGATGACAGCGAAGGTCACATAATGTTAATATCAAGTGCTTACTGTATATTTAATAAGTAGTGCAACTCCTCTTTACCCTGTCAAAATGACTAGTGTGGTACTGGAATTATATACCTGAAACTATGAAAATGACTTTTTTTAATGATCTGGGACAGAAATCTGTTTCTTCCAGGCTTCTTTAAAAAGTTCAACAGTAAAGAGACTAAGGATTTTCCAAGAGGAAATCAATGGTATTCTGAACCTATGTAAGTTAATCAAATCCGTCAAACCGCCCAACATTTTCTTCCTGTTTCCCTGCTTTGCATTTGAAAGCGAAATGCACGTAAGCGTTTGGTTTCCTTTCACCTAGGATCTGCAGCTGCCATCCGCACCCCACGGATCTGCACAGGCAGAGACGCATCAAAATGAGGTAGACTAGAAATTCCCTTGTTGTTAAGTGTTGTTAAGGTACTGCACAGTCAGAGACGCATCAAAATGAGGTAGACTAGAAATTCCCTTGTTGTTAAGTGCTGTAGAGTCGGTTCCGACTCAGAGCCACCCTGTATAGGATTTCCGAGGAGCGGCTGGAGCGCTTGAACCACCGACCTTGAAGTTCAAAGCAACCTTGCAGTCCAGCGCATTAACCCGCAGCGCCACACTAGGGCTTCAGAAATTCCCTTAAGGGAAGATATTTGAGAGGACCCAAAGTATCCATAGCACACCTAAGGCGTTTCACCCATAGGTCCCACAAAGAAACGCCCCATCCAACTGAGTGACAGACGTGCCGCCACCTCATCATCGTTTGAGTCCAAGCTCTTGTCTAACACTTTGCCATGCTTGCCTGGCGCAAAATGAGCACATCTAACCCAGGGATCCTTTCTCTCTTTAGGTACCATTTCAATCGCCCACTGGATCCTACTTCTGCAAGAGTAACTGAGACCCAAACTCACCTGGTACATATGCTTCTCTCCTTCAAACGCCAAGCCTGGAACCAGGGCGCATGCGCACTGTCAAGGTGTCGCTCACGTGACTGGAGATGACTGGGCTTTAGTCAGCTCGGTATTTGATTAAAAGGTCTTAACATGAGTTAAAGGCTGTGCGTTTGCTGAACCTGATGGGAATTGTAGTTCTACGGAAGTAGGGTTGCGTTAGCAGGAAAATAAGCTGATCCCCGCCCTTCCCTCTCCTAGAGCGATTTCCCAAAGGGAGGAGGTAGAGCCAGGGGCCGGGGACCCGCCCTTCAGTACAGCTACCTACGATGCTGTTGCTGTGGTTGTCAGTGGTAGCATCTTCGGGGCTAGCTTGGCCGGTCCCCGGAACCCAAGGGCAGAGAGAACTAGTAGGTCCAGCATCTTGGCGGGCGCCTAACGTGGTGCTGGTCGTCAGCGATTCCTTCGTAAGTACCTTGAGGCAAGGGAGGGGCGCCCCGCTCGGGACTGGCGACCGGCTCACAACTTCTCCCGTGCACAAACTTTGGGGAGCAGAGTCTGAGACACTTTTAAGTGCCTTGTAAGATACCTTGTAAGTAATACATTTTACTTCGAGGCTTCATAGGCACACACACGCCCACCGCATATAAATGCTTAAGCAAAAGTTCCGAAAAGCAATACTTTAGAAAATGAAATGAACTCTGATAACATCTTTGCAAGCCTTTTTTTCTCTCCTAATGCTGTCATCGACCCACTAAATTAGTTTACCACTACTAGTGTGTCGCTGCGGAGTCCTGGTGTGACGCTGTAGGAGAAGCGACTGGACCGCAAAGTCGGTTCGAATCACAAGGTTGGTGGTTCAAACTCACCAGCAGCTCCTTGGAAATCCTACACAGGGTCGCTCCGAGTCGGAACCAACTCTATGGCACTTAGCAACAACAGTGGCGATGTAGGATCAGCACTGGACTGTGAACCACCCTATCGACGGTTCCAACTCACCAGCTGCTCTTTGGAAATCCTTTACGAGTTCGCTAAGAGTCTGAATCAATTCGATGGCAGTTAACAACAGCAGTATCAACAGTGAACTTTTAAGAAATGCTGGTAGCATAGTTGAGTAAGAGTTGAGCTGGTAACCTCAAGGTCAGCAAGTTCTCAGAAATCCTATAGAGTATTACTAAAAGTCAAAATCTACTCACAGCACACAAACACCACCAACCAGTAAGCTTTCAGTTTGTTTCTTTTTTAGGTTAAAAAAAAAATAGCATTCTGCATGTCCACCTCCATAAAAGCATGTTAGGTTTTCGTGTTTAAATCAAGTGTGCAGAATTTAATTTTGTGGTGAGAAAATGAAGAAAGTTAACTTTATTTTGATTACCCAGGTTTCTGATCATCTTTTTGGTGTTGATTTAAATGTTTTAGCTCATATAATTTGATCACTCCCTATATACCAGAAAAAATTGTGTGTGTGTATATTGTCCTTATCATTACTGCTGTTTAATCAAAAACTTGAACAGTTTTTGGAACTTTCCCAAGTTATCAGCTAAAAGAATACTGCTATCTACTTTAACTAGTGCTTTTATAATTATGCATGATTTTAAAACTTGTACTTAGATGGGTATTTAATGATTAATTATAACATTAGTTTATTACCACTGAAAATTACTGTAATCACATAGGTTGGTGGTGTTAAGCATTTCTGGCACCCAAAAGTATGCTTTAAATCACTATGTTGTAATATTGCCCCCCTCAGAGGTTAACCAATGATGATAAATATCTGGATATGCCCATAGAATTTGTTAAGAATATTTCTTAAGTAATTTTTGTGATTTTCTAAATTCAGGAATGAAAGCTGTTGGCTATTACAATGAAACCGGTTTATTGACCTGGAAGGAAGCAGGATTGTATAGAGGGAGAAGTGAGTTTCTGTGCAATCTGAATGGAGGCCTCAGCTGATTAAATGGGAAGTTGTCAAGCTGGTGAAATAAGCTTGGGAGTCTTTAGCACATCTGTGATATTAAAAACCATGGGGATGAATAAAAGCTTCTAGGAGAAATGGCTCATGCTTTGAATTGGTTTACTTTTTTATATGTCATTTATTGATAATTCTATTGAAATCATTGTGTAAGTATAACTTCAGGATGAGTGTCCTATTTTCTGTCTTTGCTCTTTACTAAGGGGAGTTCTTCAATTCCCAAATGTATATCTCCAACCCAACCTTCTCTTCTATCCTTGGACTCAAATATCCAACTGCCAGATTGAAAATGTCCACTTATTTGAATGAGTGGATCTATCTTCAGCCTATCCAAAGTAGATTTTCTGTGTCTCAGATTTTTTTTTCAAAGCACACATCCCAGTTTTTAGTTCATAGTGATCACCAGTTTAATTTTGGACTCTTCCACTAAAGTGTAAGCTGTATAGGGGAAGGGACTCTGACTGTCTTAACCCCCCTTGTTCCTCCAGATCTTGCACAGCACCTTGCACAAAGGTCTGTACTCAATAAATATTCATTGAATCAATCCCTCACCTCTTAAAAGAGCTGAGCTTTCCAGGAAGTCCTGTAGTCTGATGATTATATTTAAACGAATCTTAGGATAGCACTGCATTGAATGTGAGCTATTTCTGGACTTGAAACTCATAAGCCTCCCTACACTTGTTCCAGTCTTTTGAGGATTCTTATCATATTCATGAAAGCCCTGGTGTGACACTGTGGGATAATGCACTGGTGTGCATGGTCTGTTTGAACTACAAGGTTGGAGGTTCAAATTCACCAGCTCCTCCTAGGAAACCCTACACAGGGTCACTATGAGTCAAAACCAACTCACTGGGATTGAACAACAACAGCATGATCATATCAAAGTCATTTGCTACTTATGTGCTTTACTTATAAAATGAAAGGAAATACGTCTGTTGTGTAATGCTTACTTAAATTTCTTTGTTTTAGGATGGAAGACTCACATTTCATCCAGGAAGTCAGGTAGTGAAACTTCCTTTTATCAACTTCATGAAAGCTCATGGCACTACCTTTCTCAATGCGTACACAAACTCTCCAATTTGCTGTCCTTCACGAGCAGGTATGAGCAAGCTTAATATTAATGGGAATAAGCAGCAACACATTGAAACTAAATTCACAATTTAAAAGATTTTATCCCAAAGTAGGATAGTGAATCAATTTTTGAACCTAATTTGTATGGTTTCTTTTGTTTGTTAGTTTTTAATATAAAAGATGTGTTTTCAGATATGTTATGAGCATTGAGATTTTAAAAATAACTAATTTATTTTTCAAAGGTAGGAAATCAAAAGGCATTGCATTGGACAAATCCTGTAAAAGACCTCTTTAAAATGTTAAAGAGCAAAGATGTTATTTTGAGGACTAAGGTAAACCTGACCCAAGGTATGAAATTCTCAGTTTCATCATATGCATATGAAAGCAGGACAGTGAATGCATAAAGAAGCCCAAAGAAGAATTGATAACTTTGAACTGTGGTATTGGCGAAGAATATTAAATATACCATGGTCTTCTAGAAGAACAAACAAATGTGTCTTGGAAGAAGTACATTCAGGATGTTCCTTACAAGCATCTCACATTGAACATGCAATCAAGAGGGACCAGTCCTTAGAGAAGGACATCACACTTGATAAAGTAGAGGGTCAGTGAACAACAGGAAGACCCTCAGTGAGATGTATTGATACAGTGGTTACAACAAAAGGCTCAACTATAAGGACAATTGAGAGATGATGCAGAACCAGCAGCGTTTCATAGGTTCACTATGAGTCAGAACCAACTATTTTGCCAGTACAAAAATGAGGAAATACTCATAGTTCCTAGAAGAGTTCTATTTTCAAAGAACGTTTTCAGTAAAGGCATAGGGAGGTTGGAGAATTTATATGGATTTCAGAATACAGATAATTCCTGACTGATAGAGTTTCATTCTGATTTAAGTCAAATCCAGTTCACTTTTATAATAGTAATTTAATAGTCCAGGTGTTAAATCCACCACTGGATAAGCACTCGACCTCAAGGTTGCTTTGAATCAGAAGGTTGGTGGTTCAAACTCAATATCTGCTCCTTGGGAACCCTATACAGGGTAGCTGTGAGTCGGGAGGGCACTGTAACAACAACAATAACAAAGTTTTAATAACAAACTATAAGTGATATTAAAAACAAGAAAAAAAAAAACCACTGCCATTGTGTCAATCCCAACTCATAGCAACCCTGTAGGACAGAGCAGAACTGTCCCATGGATTTAAAGACACCTCAGTTAACAGTGGGCTCAGACAGAAGAACAGTTGTGAGGATGGTCTAGAACTGGGCAATGTTTCATTCTTTTGTGCATATATAAGGTCTGTTTTGATTTCGAGTTGTCTCAGTGGCACCTAACAACAACAAAGCCATATTACAAATGACATTTCAATTTTGTTAGCTTTTATTTTATTCTGTATTGAACCATTGGAATGAGCAGTGCACTAGGTGATATAATGACCAGGAATCTAATCCTCAGTGAGCCATGCCAAGCAAACAAGTCACTCCATTTTCCTATCTTCATAATACTGTATGCCAAGCAGGGTTCTACTGAGCATCACATGAAATAAAGGATGAGAAGATTGTCTACCAACTAAAGGACATCAAAATGTTAACTAACTGGTGTGAGAGTCCAAGTCTAGCCATCTTGGCTTTTCAGGAGCATTCTGATTGTACTTTGTCCAACACAGAGTTACTTTTTCTTTTGGAAGTCCATGGTATTTTTAATATTCTTCTCCAACGCCATAACTAAATACATCAATTCTTCTATGATCTTTCTTAATCATTGTCCAACTTTCACATACGTATAAGGCTATTGAAAATACCATGGATTGGGTTAGGCATACTTTAGTCATCAAATTGACATCTTTGCTTTTGAACTCTTTAAAGAGTTCTTGTACAATATATATATATATAATATGTTTGAGTAAGCTTTCAGTTCTCATCAAACTAAAAGCTTTCTCGTTGGGAGAAGGGATAGCACAGTGTCATTAAAAGTTCAGGCTTTGGTGGTGTAGTACCTGGGTTTGAATCCAGACAATGCCAGTTACTGAGTGATCTTAGATAATTTACTTGCCCTATCTGTATTTTACTTTTCATAACAATAGTATCTACTTTGTAGAATTTTTGTGATGTTTATATAAATCAACACATGCAAAGCACTTAGACTATTGTCTGAGGGAGCAATGCAAATTGAGTAATTATTAGCTTTTATTACTTTTATGCCATTTCTTTGTTCAAACTCTTCAAAATATGTTTCTTCCAATAAAAATATTGTATAAGGAATACACAGAAATGGCGAAAAAGAAAGGGGGTGTATTCAATTAACAATTAGTTGTAGGAAATAAGAGAGAAGATAAAATATACTTAAATTTTTAGTAAAAGGACAATGAATAAGGAAAATCCTTGAGGATATTGGTCAAATCAGATCGATACTAGTATTCTTTTAATTGACTGATTTGGAAAATTAATCAAATAACTAGGGATTTAGGGAAAAGACTCTATAGTCAAACAGAAGACAAACAATAAGGCTAAGCATTCACTGTCTAGTCAGAATCAGCTGACGGTAATCCCATGTGAGTTGAAGTAGAACAGTGTTCCACAGAGCTTTCAGTAATGGATTTTTCAGAAGTAGATTGCCACACCTTTCTTCTGGGGCATCTTTGGGTGGATGAAATTTTCATTCTTTAAGTTAGCAGTGATTGTGTTAACCATTTGAGCCACCCAGGACTCCTGAGTCCAACAGGCTTGTGTTTCACTCCAGCTGTTAAACTGAAAATAGCTCCTGATAGAGCTCATTCCCCTGAGAAAATGAAATAAAGAATCACAATTATGACTTAAAGCACCTAATGCAGGCTCTAAACTTGTAAACTCTACTCCATCTTGGTAATTGTCTTAATAGTTAAAATAAGTTGTTAAGCCTTCCTTTAACCTGTATTTTATATCTTTTTTCAGCAATGTGGAGTGGCCTCTTCATTCACTTAACACAATCTTGGAATAATTTTAAGGGCCTAGATCCAAATTATACAACATGGATGGATGTCATGGAGAAGCATGGCTACCGAACACAAAAATTTGGCAAACTGGATTATACTTCAGGACACCATTCCCTTAGGTAAAACGTTTTTTTAAAATTAATAGCCTGCCTTCTGCTCTACATGGGCTCTTTTTGACTTTTTCCCCTAGCTCTACAGGGTGGAGGTAAATCTGTGCAGTCCTGCACCATCCTCACAGTCACTGTTATACTTGAGCCCATTGCTATTTCATTGGGGAGCATCTCCTTGGGGGGTTTTCCTCTTTTTTGCTGATCTTTCACTTTATCAAGCATGATGTCCTTCTCTAGAAACTGGTCCGTCTTTACAATATGTACAAAATATGAGAGACTAACTCTTGCCATCCTGACTTCTTATGAGCAGTCGGCCTGTACTTCTTCCAACACACATTTGTTTGTTCTTCTGGTACTTTTAATATTCTTCTCCAATACCATAACTTAAATACATCACTTCTTCTACAGTCTTCCTTCTACAGTTTTCCTTATTCATTGTCCAACTTTCAAATACCATGGCTTAGATCAGGCACACTTTAGTCCTCGGACTGACGTCTTTGCTCTTGAAAAGTTTAAAGAGATCTTGTATGGCAGATTTGCCTAATGCAGTACGTCATTTGATTTCTTGACTGTTGCTTCCATGAGTGTTCATGATGGATCCAATCAAAATGAAGTATTTGATAACTTCAAACTTTTCTCCATTTATCATAATGTTAATTTTTGTTCCTTTAGTGAGTGTTTTTTCTTTACATTGAAATGCAACTCATACTGAAGGCTGTGGTCTTTGATCTTCATCAGTCAGTATTTTAATCCTCTTTGCTTTCAGCAAGCAAGGTTGTATCATCTGCATATTGCAAGTTGTTAATGAGTCTTCCTCCAATCCTGATGCCATGTTTTTCTTCATATTATCCAACTTCTAAGGTTATTTTCTCAGCACACAGATTGATTAAGTATGGTGAAAGAATACAATCTTGGCACACACTTTCCTGATTTTAAACCATTCAAGTGTTCCCTTGATGCAGTTAGAACAACTGCCTCTTGGTCTATGTACAGGTTTCTCATGAGCACAATTAAGTGTCTGGAATACCCATTCTTTGCAATGGTATCCATAGTTTATCTTTGCAATGTTATCCATAGTTTAGAAAGAAGGAGAGATGAACAACTTCCAAATACTTAGTCATTGAAAATCTTATGAATAGCAGAGAAACTGTCAGATATAGTGCCGGAAAATGAGCCCCTCAGGTTAGAAGGCACTCAAAATGCAACTGAGGAAGATCTGCCTCCTCAAAGTAAAGTTGACCATGATGGCGTGAATGGAGTAAAGCCTATGGGAGTAAAGCCCACGAGACATTCATTTGCTGATGGGGCACAACTGAAAATGAAGAGAGACAGCTGTAAACATCCATTAATAATCGGAACTTGAAATGTACAAAGTAGGAATCTAGGAAAATTGGAAATTGTTGAAAATGAAATGGAACACATAAACATCAATATCTTAAGTACTAGGGAGATGAAATGGACTGGTATTGGCCATTTTGAGTCTTAAAACCACATGGTTTACTATGCCGGAAATGACATATTGAAGAGAAATGGTGTTGCATACATCGTCAAAGAGAACATATCAGCATCAGTCATGAGGTACAGCGCTGTCTGTGATAGGATAATATCCATGCGCCTCCAGGGAAGACCCCCAGCAAGATGGATTGGCAAAGTGGCAGCATCAAGCATGGCAACAATTGTAAGGTTGGCCCAGGACCAGGCAGTGTTTCTTACTGTTTTGCACGGAGTAGCTATGAGTTGGTACCCACTCAGTGGCACCTAACAACAACAACAACAATTGATGGTCTGTTCCACAGTCTGCCCCTATCCTTATTTTGGCTGGAGATATGGAACTCTTCCAATAGCTTTTCACACATATGCAGTTAATTTGATTTCTGAGTAGTCAGTTCCCTGAGGTACATGTGTATAGTCATCTTTTATGTTGCTTATAAAAGGTGTTTGCAATGAAGAAGTTATTGGTCTTGAAAAATGCTATCATTTGATCTCCAGCATGGTTTCTGTCACCAAGGCCATATTTTCCAACTACTGATCCTTCCTCTTTATTTCCTGCCTTTGCATTCTAATCATCAATAATTATCAATATATCCTGATGGCATGTTTCATCAGTTTCAAACTGTAGAAATTGATAGAATTCTTCAATTTCATCAACACTGACTTTAGTGGTTGATGTGTAAATTTGAGTAATAGTTGTATTGACTACTTGGTCTTATAGACATATAGATATTATCTTAACACAGTTAGAATTATTCTTTTTGATGATGTAATTCCACTTCAATTCGTCATTCCCGGCATAGTGAACCATGATTGTCAGATTCAAAATGTCCAATGCCAGTCCATATCAGCTCACTAATGCCCACGATATCAGGGTTTATACGTTCCATTTCATTTTTGACAACTTCCAATTTTCCTAGATTCATACTTCATACATTAAATGTTCTGATGAGTAATGGGGGTTTACAACTGTTTCTCCTCATTTTGAGTTGTGCTCCATCAGCAAATGAAGGTCCCAGAAGTTTTACTTCATTCATGTCATCACAGTTAACTCTATTTTGAGGAGGCAGCTCTCCCCTATTCATATTTTATGTGCCTTCCAACTTGAAGGGCTCATCTTCTTGTACTATATCTCACAGTATTCTGGTGCTGTTCATAGTGTTTCCATATTCAGTATTCTGGTGCTATCTAACAATGTTCCTTCCACTGCTATTTATAAGGCTTTCAGTGGCTAAACATTAAAAAGTAGTCCGCCTTTCTTTTTTCCTAATCTGTCTTCATCTTGAAGATCAACTGAAGCCTGTCCACTATGGGTGATCCTGCTGGTATTTTAAAATACTGATGGTATACCTTCCAGCATTACAATAATACGCAAACTACCACAGTACAACAAACTGACAGACAAGTGATAGAAAGCTATTATAGATTTCTGTTATAGTCTATGGAGTCCTGGTGTGATGCTGTGGATTAATACGCTGCACTACAAAGTCGTTTTGAATTGCAAGTTTGGTGGTTCAAGCTTACCAGTTGCTCCTAGAAAACACTATACAGAGTCACTAGAGGTCAGAACCGACTCAACAGCACTTAACAACAACATTATAGTCTATTATAGATCTATAATCTATTACAGATTTATTCCCCCATTTTAGTAAGTGACAGTCTTTTATAGATCTATAGTCTATTAAAGATTTCTTCCTCCAGCCCCTACATTTTATTGTTGTTTTTGTTAAATGTTTTTGAGTTGGTTACGACCCATAGCAAACCTGCATGGGATTTCTGAGGAATAACTGTTGAGCTTGAACCGCTGACCTTGGGGTTTAAACCAACTTTTCAGTCCAGCACACTAACCCACAGTGCCACATCAGGACTCCTACATTTTATTAAGTCCTCAAAAATCAGGCAGTCAAACATAGTGGTTAAGAGTAGAGGGTCTAGAGTCATATTGTTCTATCACTGCTATTGTTGTCTAGTGGTATCTCGGGCACATTATCTAAACTAACTAACTGACCCTTAATTTCCTGTTGTGATGATTGAATGAAATAACATATATAGAAAGGTGCTTTTGTAGCAGGCTTCAAGGTAAGTTCTTATTGGTAACTGGAAATTTGAATGTTCGGATTATCCCTCCATTTCCTAACTGGTAAGAGTGACTTACTGTTCCTAGACTGTTTGTTCGGTGTTTATACTGAACACTTGTTTTCCTTCTGGGAGTCTGGAATTTTGCTGCTTGCTAGGCAGAGAACAAATCAGACAATGAACAAATGTGTCTTGGAAGACAACCAGCCAGAATGCTCCTTATGGGTGAGGGTGGCAAGACTGATGCTGCACTGGAAACACTCACTAGTCTATGCCAAGGAATTTGCAAGACATCTACCTGCAACTAACTGACTGAAAGCAATCCATAGTTATGCTCATCTCAAAAAGAATTGATCCAGCAGAAAGTATAAATTATCAAATAATATTAATATTACATGCAAGTAAAACTTTTCTGAAGATAATTACAAAACGACTACATCCATACATTGACAGGAACTGCCAGAAATTCAAGCCAGATCCAGAAGAGGATGTGGAACTGGATATCATTGCTGATGTCACATGGATCTTGGCTGAAGACAGATAATACCAGAAAGATATTTACCAGAGGACATCCAACTGTGTAGATTGTAACAAATTATAGAGAAGATTGCAAAGAATAGGAATTCCAGGAGATTTAATTTTGTTAATAAAAAACCAGTACATAGATCAAGAAACATTTGCTACAACAGAACAGGGAGATACAATGTGTTTTAAAATCAGAAAAGGTATGTGTGACAGGGTTATTCTTTCACCATATGTATTCAATCTGTACTAAGCAAACAATCTGAACAGTTGTAATATATGAAGAAGAGTGTGGCATCAGGATTGAAGAAGACTCATTATCAGCCAATAACATGCAGATAACACAACCTTGCTTGCTGAAAGTGAAGCTAACATGAAATACTTAACTGATGAAGATCAAAGATTACAGTATGGATTATACTTTAACATAAAGAAAACAAAAATCCTGACAAGTAGATAGATTAGCTGCATTATGATAAATGAAGAAAACAATTGGAGTTGTTTTTTTGTTTTGTTTTCATTTTGCTTGGATCAACAATCAATGCCCATGCAAGCAGCATTCTAGAAATTAAAGAGTGTATTTCACTCAACAAATGTACAAAAAAAAAACCTCCTTAAAATCTTTAAACTCAAAAGATGTCACTGTAATGACTTGTTGTTTGTAAGGTGCCACCAAGTCTGTTCCAACTCACAATGACTCTACGTAGATTTCCCAAGGCTGTAAATCTTTGCAGAAGCAGAAAGCCTCATCTTTCTCCCATGGAACAAGTTGTGGCCTTGAACTGCCAACCTTGTGATTCACAGTTTAGTACTTATCCTCTAGAGCCACTGTGCTCTGTCAAGCAATAGTATTTTAGTCACCTTGTATCCATGTGAAAGTTGAGTAATGAATAAGGGAGATCAAGGAAGAATTGATGCATTTGAATTATGGTGTTGATGAAGAATATTAAGTATACCATGAGCTGCCAGAAAATAAACAAATTTGTATTGGAAAAAGTACAGCCAGAAAGCTCCTTAAAATGATGAAACCTTGTCTCCTTTGGACACATTATCTGGAGGAATCAGTCCCTAGAGAAGGACATCATGCTTGGTAAAGTAGAGGTTCTGACACAGTGGCTACAACTATGGGTTGAAACATATCTGCTATTGTGAGGATGACAGAGTAGATTTCATTTTCTTCTGTTACAGTTAGAATTGCTTTAAGTAGAAGCCAACTCTACAGCACATAACAGCAATGTTTTTTTTCTGAAGCCAGATCACAATAGGCAAATTTTATCCTCTGGGGGAAAACAACAACAACAACAAAAAACCATGAGACCTATATCCAAAATGAGAGAATTAGGCAAAACTCCTAAACTTGAGTCCTTGGTAGAACAACAAATGGAAGCAAATCACAGGGTGCTAACACCACTCTTCCTATCCCCATTAGACCTTTAGGCCAACAGTAAAGGCTTTCTAAATAGAACCCTAGGATGAAGAGGGGAGAGTCAGAACTCAGAACCAGCCTGTCTCAGCTCTTCGCTCATCTCATCCATATTTGCTTTTACTTTATGATCTTAGATCAGATACATTTAGGTTCCTTTTTTTCTATACTGAACTGTTTTCTTTTCATTCTTTTCCATAAATGAAGAAAGAAATCTAGTTGTCATTTTTTTAGAACTCTCCACCTCATTTTCTTTATTGAAATTGAGCAGCTTGAACAGCTTGCATTATTCAGCATATTTTTTTCATAACCATGGAAGTGCTTGTCATATTTCATGTTTTGTTTTGCCATTCCAGAACTCTTACTTGTGGTAACAAGCAAATTCTTTGCTGAAGCAGTCCATGGGGAATATCTTCAAAGAGCTATCCACCAAAACTGCCTCTTCAGTTTCTTAAGCAAAAGTGATAGTTCTGAGCCTGAAACCTCAATACAATTCTTGGAATTTTTTCCATCTCATTATTAAAGTTTCATGTATTAAATGTAGCTGCTTATAATGAAGTATATTTCCTATTTTTGCCAATCTTAGCCATTTGAAAGACTGCTGAAGTTTATCTCAAGAGAAGTCTGGAACTGCATAGTATACAGATATTTAACTTTTCAATTTAATTTTACATTAATATTTTTAAAAGAAAAGGAATATTTGGAAACAAAAATTGAGAGTATACAACTGAGTTTAAAAAGTGCAGGCAAAATATGGCCAGTTCTGTTTATTGGACGATGCCATCACATTTAGATTCTTTACTCAAGGTGCCGGAGAAAAGATTGTAAAGTGTTATATTTCATTTACTCTAGGGTGCACAGTATTTTCACATTTTAACATCTCTGAAATTGCAGTGCTTTATAATAAAAAAATGTTATAATCAATTATCAAATTCTATCATGCAGTCTCCAAGGTCATATGTTCTAATTATAGATCCGCCTTCTTTGTTTCCAACTTTCAAATCCTAATCACCAGTAATTATCAGTGCATCTTAATTGCATGTTTGGTCAATTTCAGACTGAAGAAGGTGATAGAATTCTTCAATTTAGTCATTACTGGCTTTAGTAGTTGATGAGTAAATTTGAATAATATTGATATTAACTGCTCTTCTTTTTAGGCTTATGGATATTATCCTATCACAGACAGCATTGTACTTCAAGATAGATCTTGAAATACTCTTTTGACAGTGAATGTGATACCATGCCTTTTTAATTTGACATTTACAGCATAGTAAACCATATGATTGTCAGATCCAGAATGGTCAGTACCAGTCTTTGCCAGCTTCTGCTATTCCTAGATTCATAGTTTGTACATTCCATATTCCAATTATTAATAGATATGTGCAGCAGTTTGCCCTAATTTTGAGTTGTGTCTGATCAGCAAATGCTCCATTCATGTCATTATGATCAACTCTACTTTGAATAGGCAGCTGTTCCCAAGTCATATTTTGAGTGCCTTCCAATCTGAGGGGCTCATCATCTGGTATTATATCTGACAATGTTCTGCTGCTCTTCATCATGTTTTATCTTCCAGCTCTGTATCTGACAATGTTCCACTGCTATTCATAAGGTTTTCAGTGGCTAAACATTCAGAAGTAGTCTGCCTCTCCTTCTTCCTAGTCTTCATTAGTATGGAAGCTCTGCTGACATCTGTCCACCATGGGTGACCTTGCTGGAATGTAAAATATCAGTGGCATAGCTTCCTTCCAGCATCACAGCAACATGCAAGCTACCACACTATGACAAACTGATGGATGAGTGGTGAAATAGTAATAGGAAATACCACTACCACCCAAACCATTGCCTTCAAGTCAATTCTGACTACCAACATTGCTACATGACAGAGTAGAACTGCCCCCCCCCACCCCAGCGTTTCCAAGGCTGTAAATCTATACAAGAGCAGACTGCCACACCTTTTACCCATGGAGCAGCCGATGGGTTCACACTGCTGACCTTTTGGTTAGCATCCAAGTGCTTAACTACTGTGCCACCAGGAATCCTTAAGAATAGATATGGCATAGATGCATTAACCAAAAAGCTCAAAGAAATCACACCTTTCCACTACTATGGCAAAAGACACAGAAAGTTGGCTTCAATGCTGCCATTCTTCAAGACTACATATTTCCTTGAAATGTTTAGACTCACTCTAGATGAACATCAAAGACTACTGCCATGGATTACAACTCAATATGTTGTTTTTGTTAAATGCCATCAACTCTGTTCCAATGCATAGCGACCCTTTGTAGGGTTTCTGAGGCTTATTAAAATCTTTGCTGGAGCAGAAAGCCTCAGCTTTCTCACACATCTCAGCATAGTGAAAACAGAAATCTTCACCACTTACCAGTAAACATCTTGACAGATAAACGATTGAAGTTACCAAGGATTTCATCTTATGTGGAGTAACCATCAGCACCCCACAGTCAATAGTTAAGAAATCACACATTTTGCATTGGTCAAATCTGCTGCAGAAGACCTTTTTAAAATGTCAAAGAGCAAAGATGTCACTTTGAAAATTATGTGCACCTGACCCAAACCATGGTATTTTCATTTGCCTCATATGCATGCAAAAGAGCAATGAATTAGTTAGGCCACAAAAGAATTGATTCAGTTGAATTATGGTGTTAGCAAAGAGTATTAAATAGTCTGCATCTTACAGTCAACTTCCAAGGTAATCCAAAAATGGCCACTAGTTTATAGTACATTCATGTTATCAATTTCACAGCCATATTTTCTAATGTAATATTCCTTGATTAAAAAGAAAACTCTTTTGTTCCTAAACAGGCAATATGGATCTTATGTCCTATTCTTTCTCATCTCAAAACCTTGAGCTATACGGTTATAAATTCGTAAAATTCTAATCCTCTGTAAAAACTCTTAACGATTGCATAGTGAGATTTCAGCAATTATCTAAGCAAAACACTGAGAAACTAGTGGTATGTTGTTTGGATAATGTGATACTTTTTAATCACACTTGCTATTTTAAGGTTTCCATATGTATAGTATGTAATTATGCCAAAATTGTATTTTCAAAATTTTATCAAAACATATTGAATATCTACTATGAAAAAATAACACTTTTATTTTGGCTTCTTAAAATTATTTTATTTGCATGTAAAAAATTATTTTTCACCTCATCTTAGTTATTTTGTGTGGGTTAAATTTTTCTTAAGTGGAACATAATTTGTAATATAAAATAGTCTATATTTTTAGATTGGTACCAGAATTTTAAAAAATAATTTTAAGTGATTGGGCACTTCCGAGGTACTTGCCTCAAGTAAAATTTATAAAAAGAGTCTTAGAAATGCTCGAGGCTGCTTCCTAAACTGAACTGCTAACTGCAAAGTCGGTGGTTCCAACCCACCAGCTGCTCCGGAAACCCTTTACAGGATCTCTATGAGTCAGAACCAACTTGCCAGCACTTGACAAAAACAATCATATATTTAGATATTGCTTGAAAAACTCAACTAGTAAGATAAAATAGGCTAAAGATTTAGAGGAACTGAGTTGACTGAATTACTTTAAAGCCCTAGTGTGAGACTGTAGAATAAGCACTGGACTACTAACCAAACGGTCAGCAGTTCAAACCCCCCAGCCATTCCTCTGAAAATCTACACAGGATCATTATGAGTCAGAACCAACTCAATAGCACTTAACAGCATTACAACAGTAATGAAAATATCTCGAGTTAATGGATAAGAAATTTGTGTCACTGTTAGTTTAGATGGTCTTGACCATAGTTAAAACTGTTCTTATAATGAAAAGATAGAGCTAGAAACAATTTAAAATTGAGGATTCAGAAATATTTGAAGTGTATATATGAGGTAAGATTTTAACAATATAAAGACTGTGTTATGAGAGGAAATTATAGTAGCTCTGGTTAAAAATATTATCTACTTCTGACAGAAAAGGGATAAAATACTGGAAAATTCAGTGAATACTGAGAAATACTAGGAATCTCTGAAGCATTTATTTAACTAATCACCTTACTATAAGAAAATGTAATCTCCCTAAGTAGTTTATCATAGTTTTAAAGAACACATAGGTTAATGTTTGATTCATGTTATTTCTGGCTTTTTAATTTGCAATTCCAGTAGCATTTGTATTGAGAGCTAATGTAATTTTATTGTAAACATTTACATGACTGAGTCTAAAAATTGTTACCCATATTGTTTTCTTATGTGTATAATTAGCGAGTTTTTTGGGGTGTTTTTTAATGTTTTAATATCTTACACAGTACTTTTCTGTTTGCTCCACAGCAATCGTGTAGAAGCATGGACAAGGGATGTTGCTTTCTTACTCAGACAAGAAGGCAGGCCTATGGTTAACCTTATCCCTAACAAGACGAAAGTACGAGTGATGCAAGAGGACTGGACAAATACGGACAAAGCAGCAAATTGGTTAAAAACAGAAGCCATTAATTATACTAAACCATTTGTTCTTTACTTGGGATTAAATTTGCCACACCCTTACCCTTCACCATCTTCAGGAGAAAATTTTGGATCTTCAACTTTTCATACATCTCTTTACTGGCTTGAAAAAGTAAGTGTACAATATTTGCTCAAATCTAGAAGCTAACATGGTATCTGTAGATTATTCATTGTTTCTTTTATTACAACTTTTTAAAAAAATTTTTGAAAATTGCATGTTCTCATTAAATTAAGCTTGACCAATAATTGCTTAATAAACATTAAAGTGTCAATTTTATAAATAACAAATAAGTATTAAAACATAGAAACTTACTTCGTAATTGAATATATTTGCATGTATATTTAGAAGTACAGACATCCTCGCTTTACAGGACTGTTAAAATTAACATGTAAGCCAAAACCATACAAAGAAATCTTAGTAATCAGTGGGAGATATGACTGTTACTCTAGAACCATTAAAAATACTTGTGATGTTGTAAATGTATGGGAATATTGAAAAAATAATAGTAAAACTAGTATTTCTTTAGTATTCTATGATTGACAACTTTGATAATTAAAGAAATTAATTTTTTCTAAGAAAAGAAAAACAGCCTATTACAAAATAGCTTGAACAGGCTTGTGTTCTCACTCTGTAATTCATGATTGAAAATAAGCATCTTTTCTCATTTTGGTGAATTGACATAATCCTTTCTAAGTGTGGATTAAGCATTGGGCTGCTAACTGCAAGTTCAGTGGTTTAAATCAACCAACCACTCCTCGGGAGAGGATGTTCTTCCATGTGGTGATTTCCACATATCTTCAAGAGTTCCCTTAATATGAAGTTGTTTTGCTGGTGTCACTTCCTTTGCAATATCTTCATTCTTTGAGTCACAACTGCTTTCCTCATTATATCGATAAGTTTGCTTTCCTTGAGTTCTTCTAGGTACATAGCAAGAATCTCTCAAATGGCAGCAGTGTCAGCATTCCTAGCACCAGCTGATTCCTCTACAATTCCATTTATATTTGACTCTGATTCCATTTCCAGCATTATAGCTTTGTTTCTTGGCTGGCCAATTCCCTTTTTAGAATTGTAAACTTAATCACTAGGAGACAAGGAGACAACACAGTTGCTCACTTGGCTTTCGTGCATGTGAACTGAATAACAAATGCGCCCTGACCAATTGCTAACAGACTTTGATGTGAGAAATGATGTGATTGGTCATTGACGGATGCAGTTCTGTCATTTACATCATGATTTACAGACAGAAAAGGCTAGCATCAAAGTTTATACTTTATGCAATGACTCACAGTTAATACAAGAGTATGTCAAAAAGTATTGCTACAAAGTCATAGAAATCTTTATTAAACAAAAATATTTAAAATGTGAAGTGATTATTTCTTAACATACTAACCATCTAGGTCTATATACTTTTGAAAGCAGTGTTTGTCCATCTCTCTAACCCTCCCTCCAAAGAGTTCTACACTCTTCATTTTACACCACATCAGAACAGCAGTTTTGGCATCCTATGTTGTTGTTGTTAAGTGCCATGGAATCGGTTCCAACTCATAACAACCCTGTATAGGGTTTCCAAGGAGCAGCTAGTGGGTTTGAATTGCACCTTGTGGTTCGCAGTCCAGTGCTGCTGATCCACAGTACCACACCAGAAGTCCCTGGGGGACTCAAACCATGTACCTTTGAAACGTTCTTTGAGTTTTATGAATAAAAAGAAATCTAAATATACAAGATCAGAGCTGTGGGGTAGATGGGGTAAGTTTTCCCCTTGAGATTATCAGTGGACAGCCCTTGCTACCCTAGAAGAATGAGCAGGTGCATTTTAATGATGAGGGGAAAAGTTCCTTGGCACAACTTCCCTTCTCACTAATGCAATTTTCAGTTTTCTTAAAACTTCCTAATAAGCCACTCTGATCAGTCTATGTACTTTAAGAAAATCTACTAAGAACTGACATAAGCTTACTCTTTGATCGCATTGGTAAATCCAAGACTTGTCTCTGTTTACTGTTTGGTCCATTAGCTTCAATTCTTGCTTAAAAGACTGATAGAATGATCAACTCTTTGAGCTAGCTCTGATCTTCTCGTAACACTTTTGGCATCTTTAGAACCAAAAGCTTTCCGAGACCAAGATGTATGCTTAAAACTAAAAATGCTGCAACTTGTGAGATCCCAACTTTAGTAGCTATCAAATCAATGGTAGTTCCGTGGTTTTCTTCCACCAATTTCTAAAATTGAGCCACAGTTTATTCATTCATCAAGGTTTATGGTCTTCCCTTCTTGGCTCATCTTTGAGGTCTTTCTAACCTTCCTGAAAATGCTTGATCCATCGAAAAACTTGTTATATGTGGAGTCACATTCTCATAAACTTGTTGCAAAGCTTTATTTGGGAAGATGTCCAATTGTGTTTTGTTAAAAATTTCATATTAGCCCTGAGCTCAAAATTGGTTTTTTTTTTTCCATTAAAAAATGTTTCCCTTTTTTTATACTTTAGTGAGAGTAAGAAGATTGTATTACTGAGAGCACTTGTCTACAGTGATCCACTGATCACAGATATACGTTTAAATATTCGTTTTGAATAAACCCATGCATGAGTTCACTGGAACCCTAGTAGCAATACTTTTTGGTTACTCTCATATAGTCTGATAACTGAATTTTAACCATGTTGATTGGAAGACTGTAATTTAAGTCATAGTACTGAAATCTATGCTTATCTAAACCATGTGAAGAGCCTGTGTCTGAAATTCTCATCTTAAAGTTAAGTTTCTTTCAAAGTCTCTTCAAAAACATCTTTGTTGTTGTCTAGTGCCATCGAGTAGGTTCTGACTCATAGAAACCCGCATAGGGTTTCTGAGGAGCAGCTGGAAGGTTTGAATCGTCAAACTTGTGGTTTGAAGTCCGGTGCTGATCCTACATATCCTACAAATAAGGCATCCTATTTGAAAGGAAATAATATAAGAATTTTAAATAATTAATGTTGGCTTTAAAAGTTGTGGTTAAATGAAGTTCTGATACATGCTATATAGCATGGATGAATCATAAAAATATTTTTCTAAGTGAAATAAGCCAGATAAAAAAAGAGAAATATTGTATCATCTCATTTACAGGCATACCATGGAAAAATTGTGGGTTTAATTTTGGACAACTACAGTAAAGCAAGTCATAGGAATTTTTTGGTTGCCCAGTTCATATAAAAAATAGACTACACTGTTCGGTAGTCTATTAAGTGTGCAATAGAATTCTGAAAAACTTTGAAATTTTGTGAGAATAACCAAAATGTGACGCAGAGACATGAAGAGAGCATGTTGGAAAAGATGGTGTTGATAGACTTGCTCCATGCAGCGTTGCCACAAACTTTCCATTTGTAAAAAATGCAGTCTCTATGGAGCACAGTAAGGCAAAGAACAATAAAACGTATGCCTCTATATGAAATCTCTACAATGGACAAAGGCATTGAGATACAAAATAGATTAGTGATTACCAAGGCTGTTTAGGGTGATGGAAACATTTGGGGAATAAAAACTTTGGATGGTTACTGCAATGCAGTTGATTACTTCATATGGCCCTCCTACCCAGAGTCCTTGTAACTTCCATCAAACAACTTTTTTCCTAGTGGGTCTGGGTAAGAAAAGGTGGGAGAAGATGCTGATAGGATAATATGATTCTATTGTGATTGTTAACAGTGCTAATTGTGATTGTAGAAAGTTGGAACTCTAACTAGGGTTTAGAGCCATCTCAGAAGTAGGAGGGAGGATCTCACTACCATCAACGAGCTGCCAGGAGTGCAGCACATCCTTTGAACTCAGAGATCCCTGTGCATGGAACCTTGTTGACCCAGGGACAGAAAGCTATGGCGCTGGAGGAGTGGCAGAGGAGCAGAAGCAGCAGAACTAAGAGGCAGAGTGCCAGACTTCCCAGCCCACAGAGCAAGCAAAGATGAGTGACTGGGCATGAGGCTGCTTGCAGAGTGGGGTGCCTTCAGGCATTTAATTGGGGGAGCTAAGTTTGCTGATTCGTGGATTAGAACCAAGTACCTTCAGGCTGAGGCTTATGGTGAAGTAGTGTGCCCTGTGGGCATTTATCAGCAGCCCTAAAAGAGCTTTGTAAGTGGGCAGAGAGAAGCCTGTCCTGACTGGAAGAACTGAGCCCTGAACATATCTGACCCTGAAAGGTAACCTGTTAACACCCCTAGTAAACCCCAAAACTGAGTCCTGTGTCACCATTGCAACAAAGTGTCTAAACTGGCTGAGTAGAGAGTGCTGTGGTTGAAGTTTTGGGTTTTGGGGGGTTATTTGTAGTTGCAAAATTAAAGTTCTGGGTAGATCCATCAAATATTTGTCAGGCATTAGTATTAAAATTTTTATCCACATCTGGCTATCTCACTATATATTAGCATTATTACTAGTAAAGTAATGACAAAAAGAAGTCCATGTTTATTCTGCAGTTTTGAATTGATCATACAATTAGGACACTTTTCTGGACTAGAATACTGTTCAATATAGCTTATGCTTTGTCACTGATGTATATATATAATTTAAAAAATAATTTTGACAACTATTTTACTATATAGACAGATACTGATATATAACTTTTTTTAATGTTTTGTGAATTATGTGATAGTTTACTTGGAAGAACGTTAGCTTTACATTCATCCTATCATATATTGTTTCATTGCCATGGTTACAATCCCCTCCATGCATCATCAACCAACTAAAGGGTATACCCTGCAAGCTACCCCCCCACCCCCTCACCCCCAGTTATCAGCACACAGTCCCTCTCCTTCTCTGGGTCTAGAGTCCCCAGCTGCTCCATCTCTCCACGTCATTTCTGCTTCCATCTCTGGCATCACTGTTTCTCTGGGCAGTGCCTCTCACTCCGCTCTTCTCCCTTGATGGTTCCAGGGACCTCTGCTCCTGGACTGCATAGTCTATCACTCCCCTCCTTTTGCTACAAAATGTCCACCTTTACATTTCCAACCCTCACAGTCAATCCTGATAACAATTATTCACTGTTGTATCACAAGAGACCTCTCCCCATCTCCTTTCATTAGCCCTGCCCAGACAGATTGGATATTACTCAGTGGAGATTCTACCTTCCTCCATGCCCTCTGGATCCAGGTTCCCTCTTGAAAGCCTGTAAGCCAGTCACTTCTTGCTTTTGTAGCTCCCTCCCTCCCCCATTTTGGGTAGCCAATGTCCAAGTTGCCCATCCCTGTCTACTCTGTGTGTAGAGGGGGTGGGAATGATCCTCGCTGTAAAGATTTGTTCCCTCTTTGAGCTACTGCATCCATAGGTGTAGGTCAAGTTCATCAAATTGTATCACTCTTTTTTTTTTTTTTTCTTTTCTTTTCTTTTACTAGTTGAGCTCTGATCATCCAGTCATTGAAGCCAGGTCAAGTGGGTATTATCTGCAAGTGTGGGTGTTCTTACACATGTGTCCTCTCTTCTTATCAGCTGGATGCTTCACTCTCCGCTCTAGTCCTCTGTAGCTATGTCACTGACTCTAGGCCCAAGAGTCCCCAGGTCTTGCCACACTGCTGACCGACTAGGTCTTCACCCGGGTTCACAGGAGTCTATTGAACGTTGTAGGGCTTAGCTCGCAGCTGATATATAACTTTTGCTATTACTGGAAATACAATTTGTTACTAACTTATGGATTTGATTTACTATTTTCTTTATATAATTCATAACCATTCTCTTCTATTCTAAGGAATTAAATGTTGTCAACATATTTGTTGGGGAGGGGGGAAGAATTATTACTACCTGCTAGACACAACAGTTAAACCCTTGGCTAATAACCAAAAAGTCAGCAGTTTGAACCAACCTAGGAGTCCTGGTGTGGCGCTGTGGGTTAATGCAAAGTCTCTTTGAACCAAACACAAGGTAGGCAGTACAAGATCACCAGCCATTCCTCAGAAACCTTATACAATGTGACTGTGGGTTAGAACTGACTCGACAGCACTTCACAACACCAACAACAAGCCGTTCCTCAGGAAGAAGATCCAGTGTTCTGCTGCTGTAGAGGTTACAGCCAAGAAAACTCTAAGGGGCAGTTCTATTCTGTCACATGAGGTCTCTAAGTCAGAATCAACTCCACAGCACCCAACAATGGCATGACTAGATTTTTTTCTCACATTTAACTAGAGTTCTCTTTCACTTTTTTTTTTTTTAGGTATCTGATAATGCCATCAAAATCCCAAAGTGGTCTACTGTATCAGAAATGCACCCTATAGATTACTACTCTTCTTATACAAAAAACTGCACTGGGAAGTTTACCAAAAAAGAAATTAAGAGTATTAGAGCATTTTATTATGCTATGTGTGCTGAAACAGATGCCATGCTTGGTAGGTGGTATAATTAATAAGCAATTACATGAAGAAAAAGTGTTAATATTTTTCAATAAGCTGTGATCATGATAGTTGGTGACTTGTATGAATATCCTCGAATAATTCCTTAAAACAGTTGCTTAGATACTTCAGGCTTAGAATTATAAACATCTTGGTACATACAGCCACTGCTATTGAGTTGTAAAGAAAGGGTGGACTGCAGCACTGGACTGCGAACCACAGGACAGCAGTTTAGACCCACCAGCTGCTCCTTGGAAACCCTATACAGGGTTGCTATGAGTCAGAAAAACTCAAAGGCACTTAACAACAACAACAAAAGAAAGGGTATTAGAAGACTACATTTGCTTGAAGCAGAACTTTTTCCTGCCTTTAATCGGAATCTGTTTAGCCTAACACTGAATAGATTCCTTCAAACAGTATGTGCAGGACAGTCTGGTGCATTAGCCCACAGCGCCACACCAGGACACCCGAGTTGGCCGTTAAATGACATTTATTGCTATTCACTTTGTTCAACAAACTTTTATTTAGTGCCTGCTAATTGGCACTGTGGAGTCCTGGTGTGGTGCTGTGGGTTAATGCACTAGACTGCAAAGCCATATGAATTGCAAGGTCAGCGGTTCAAATTTACCATTGGCTCCTCGGAAACCCTATACAGGGTCACTATGGGTTGGAATTGACTCAAGGGTACTTCACAACAGCAACAATTGGCACTATGGGTTAATGCACCAGACTGCAAAGCCATTTGAACTACAAGGTCAGCAGTTCAAGCTTACCAGTTGCTCCTTGGAAACCCTATACAGGATCGCCATAGTTCGGCACTAACAACAACAATTATCATGCAGGGTAGGACACAAGTGATACTATATTGAATAATATTTTTAAAACACACATTAATTGAAACCATTTTAAGTGCTTCTCCCATCTTGGGGGTGCTTCAAATTTCATGGAAGAAATCCAGTCTCTTTTAATTCAATTTTCGACATGCATTTTTTTTTAAAGTTATGTTAGGGGGTTGGACCAGAGCTAGGCATAGCGCTTGGTCTGGTTTTAGGGTTACAGTTAGTCTTTTTTCTTGAAATCTACTTGATTTCTTCTTCATTTGGAAGTTCTGTAACCATACTATTCCCTATTTTTACTTTGTAGAGTGTGTTTTTGTTTTGCAAACTGGTATCTCTGGTGCCTTATGTTCAGTCTTATAAGTTTGTTTTTCTATTTGAGTTGAGTTCCTGTGGTATTGTCATATATGTTTATCTCAAGTTGTTGAATGTTGTGGGTTCTCTGTCCAAGGGATTCCCTTCAGTGTTTTTATTTTTTTGTAAGGTTGGGTTTTTATAAATTCGTTTCATTTCTGTTTATTTGAAAATGTTCTAATTTCACCATACTAGTGTGAAGGACAGTTTCGCTGGGTATCTGATGCTTGGTTGGCAGGTTTTTTTCTTTCACAGTTTTATATAGGTCATCCCATTGCTACCTTAGCTGCGTGATTGCTAATGAGAGATCAGAGCTTATTTCTTTATTAGTTCTCCTTTGTAGGTATTTTCATTTTTCCCAAGCTGCTCTCAGAATTCTTTCCTTGTCTCTGATTTTGGAAAGTTTGATTATAATATGTGTTGGTGATTTTCTCTTGGAGTCTGTCTTGTTAGGAGTTCATTCAGCTTCTTGAATATGTATCTTCTCATCTTTCATTGATGTTAGGGAGATTTTCCTCCAACAACTGTTGGACAGTTTTCTCTGTAGCTTTTTTTTTTTTTTTTTTGGTTTCTTCTTGTTCTGGTTACTAGTTACACATAAATTATTATTCTTGATGATTTCCCACATCATTTTTAGGCTTTCTTCAGATTTTTTTGTTTCTGTTGTCTGATTGTTCCTCTTGCAGGTGAATATTGAGAGATTGGTATTCAAGATCACTAATTTGACCTTCCATTGACCCAATTTTACTTTTTGCCCTTTCAATGTATTTATACATTTATAAAATTTATAAAATTTTACCATTATCTTCTGGACTTAGCTGTTTTTCTAATGGTTTCTACGGTTCGTCTGTTTGTTCTTACAGAGTTCTTGTAAAGTCTTGTCTGTGTGTTCCTTAATTCCATCTGCAGTTTTCTCAAGCAGTCTCTCAATCCATTGAAGGTACTTCAATATCTTCCTTTTGAATTCCTTATTAGGTAGTTCCAATACTATTTCTGGTGTTATAGTTTCTGACTTTGTGTTTTGGTACATACTGTGTACCTTATTGTCTTGTTTGCATTATAATCTTTAATTGTTTTGTTTACTGTATATCTCCCTTGAAGAATTTAAGTTTCATGAGAGCAGGAACATTCCATCTTATTCAACCTGGCATTCTAGCTGCCGTATATAGCACCTGGCAGATAGTAACACACAGTAAATATTATTGACTGAATACAGATACCATGAATTATAGTATAATGTAACTACAGTATTACATAAGTCTAAGGGCACATAGGGGTCCAGTCTCAACATGAAGGAGCAGGGAATGCTTTACCAGGGAACTAATGCTTGAGCTCAATAATGAAGGAAGACTAGAAATATACCAACTGGATGATGGGGGAAAGGACATTCAATGCAGAAGGCAGAATGTATGCAGAGACAAGAAAATCTAAACCAATATGGTGTTTTCAATATAGTTTGAGATTGCAAATTTTAGGAGGTAGCTGAAGGTTCTGAAGCAGAATGTGAACTTGTAGGTAATACTGTTTGTCCATTCCATCTGCTTCTCATGATAATAATGTTAAAGGTCCCCCAGGGATCCAAGGGCCTTCCATTAGTAGAGTCTTTTCAGAAATCTGAGTCTATAGAATGAATCTTGTTGTTGTCATTGTTGTCAGTGCTGTCAAGTCAGTTCCAGGGTGACCCTGTACAGCATTTCCAAGATGAAACTGGTGAGTTTGAATCACCAGCCTTGTGGTTCAAACCAAACTTGTGGTCCTACACTTACCCTACAGCACCACACCAGGACTCGAAAATTAATCCTAGGCATCAGTTTATTTTTCTTAAAAACGCAACAAATTATTCTACTATCCAGTCATAGTTGAAAATCATTTCCATAAAGCTAACCATCTTTGTCCATTGCCTTAGCTATTATCAATTTATCTAGGTTGTTTAATTGGCAGCTAAGGCAATATCACGCACATAGTAGGTGCTCAGACGTTTGTACATTAAATGACGGTGCATATTCACTATTCAAAATATTCCCAATTTGCAGGTTCAGGAAAAAAAATTTAAAGCAAAGCATTTTATATAAAGAATAATTCCTACTATCTACAATTCTTTCTGCCCTGCACATTTTAAAAGATACCTGGTATGGTGTTGTGGGCTAATGCGTTAGACTGCAAAGTGTTCGTTTGAACCATAGCTCAGTGGTTCAAGCTTACCAGCTGTTCCTTGGAACCCCTGTACTGTGTCACTATGGGTCAGAACCAACTCGACAACACTTAACAACAACAACAGGCAATGTTCTGAGAAATCTTTATGGGGTATGTTCTGAAAAATCTTTATGGGGTAAAATTGTAGATTTAATGTAATAGAAAAAAAAACATGGATTAAAAAGCTAATATGAACACAGCTTTATCTTAATTTTTGTCCTAGGTGAACTGATTTTGGCCCTTCGCCAGTCAGATCTTCTTCAGAAAACAATTGTCATATTCACCTCAGACCATGGAGAATTGGCCATGGAACATCGGCAGTTTTATAAAATGAGTATGTATGAAGCCAGTGCCCATGTTCCACTTTTGATGATGGGGCCAGGAATTGAAACCAATCTCCAAGTGTCAAATGTGGTTTCACTTGTGGATATTTATCCTACTATGCTTGGTACGTAATCTAATTTTGTACATATTTATTTGTAATGGTGCTGGAGAAGGAAAAGCAAAGTACTTATAGGATCTGCTGACTCATTTTATGTCCTTGAGCAGCTCATTTCATTGTGAGTGAAATTCTTACTCTTAAAAACTGAAGATGGTATTTATCTTTCTTTGTCCTTCACTTACTATAGCTGTTTCCCCTTGAAAAGATTAGTAATCTGGATGTGATTATAAAGTAAGTAACATTAAGATATTCAGGCTCAAACTGTATGTTTTTATTGTTGTTGTTATGTGCCGTGGAGTCGGTTCCGACACATAGCGACCCTGCACAGGTTTTCCGAGGCTGTAAATCTTTATGGGAGCAGAAAGCCTAATCTTTCTCCCACAGAACAGCTGGTAGTTTCAAACTGCTGACCCTAAGGTTAGCAGCCCAATTCGTAACCACTATGCTACATACATCTCTCATTCTCTACCATCACCTCCCTATATTATAAACATTTCCTTTCTGGATAAATCTATCTTCATTGAAACTATAGTGTCCTTTAGTCGATGTTCTGAATATTTTACCTCAAGATCTGTAGCTAGAATAGCCATAGTTCCAGAACAGTGACATTTGGATAGGTAACAGTTTTATTTAGCTACTAAAATGAAGCCATCATTGAATTCAGTGGAAACTGTATTAAACTGGCTCTTAGTTTCCATATACTTTAGCACAGAATATTTTTAAATTCATCAACATTTAAATATTATACTTCTGCTCTAAGATGCCATCATTCATAAATAGATTTTGGTGAAAGAAAAGAAAATACAATATAAAGTGTTAACATTTTAATATGTGAAAGAAATACGCATCTAGTTATTGTTGTATCGAGTCGGTTCTGACTCATAGCAACCTTGTATAAGGTTTCCAAGGAGCAGCTGGTGAGTTTAAACCATTGACCTTTCAGTTAGCAGCCCAGTGCTTATCCTACAGTGCCACACCAAGACTCCTTGTGACTGTTACTTGCCATCAAATTGATTTCATTCTTAGTTACTGTCAAGTCAGTGACCTCATGTTTACTGGGTAGAACCATCCCATGGTTTTCACGCCTGGAACATTTCAGAAGCAGATCACCAGGCCTTTCTTCCAAGGTGTCACAGGATGGGTTTGAACTACCAACCTTTCAGCTGGTAGTTGTGCAAAGAAATTAGAGAGTTCTCTTTATTTCCTTCCTCCTCCTACAATGTCTTTCATTTAATTAAAGATATTCCAGTCTTTAATTTCTTTTCAATTACTTTAAAACAGTACCCTTTTTCTCTTTTATTTCAGACCACTGCTTTGAAATACTCAAGTATATTTGAATATTTCTTTCTGATCCTTTGCTACATGCATTTTTAATACCTTTAGTTTCTTAGTCTTCATTTGATGGCTTCTTTTATTCTGCAGCATTATCACACTTAGCCATTTTGTTGCCCCTTTCTGACTCCATCAATTTCTAGACCTTCTCTTTTCCTTTCTTTTATTTCTGTTTTCATAAGGAGCACATGTATATTTTTGTGTGTCACTTGTACTATCATTCTTACAATGTTATGTGCGAGGATATATCAAAAAGTAGTGCTACAAAATCATAGAAACCTTAATTAAATAAAAACATCAAAATGTGAAGTTATTGTGTCTTAAAATATCTTCCATCAAGGTCTATACTACATCAAATTGGCAATTTTGGCAACCTCAAGGGATTCAAACCTTGTCTTTTTAAATTTTCTTTGAGTTTCTGAATCAAAAAGAAGTCTGGACAGACAACATCAATGCTGTAGGGTGGATGGATAAGGTTTCCTAGTGAAAAATCTCTCAGGACCACCCTTATTACCCTCAAAAAGAATGAGCAGGTGAATTATCCTGAGATGGAAAAAAAATCCTCAATGCAATTTTTGCCTTTTTCTCACCAATGCCATTTTCAGTTTTCTTAAAACTTCTTCCTGATAAGCTGCTATGATCATCCTGTGTCCTTGGGGGAAATCTATCAATATAGAACATATGAACTGCTTGTTTATATCTATCTTAATGACCATGTTTTCCAACTAGAAACAACTTCCTCTTTGTTTCTAACTTTTGCATTCCAACCACCAGTAATAATCAGTGCATCGTGAGTGCATGTTTAGCCAATTTCTGACTGAGGAAGTTGGTAGAATTCTTCAGTTTTATCATCATTGGCTTTAGTGGTTGGTTGCATTTTTTGTGTTTTTTGTGGGTACAAGTAATGGGTTAGGTACAGAATCCTTGTATTTAAAAAAATGAAATGATATGTGAAGGTGTTCTCCATATATTAATAAGAAAATGTAGAATTTAAAACTATATTAATAATTTTTTTGTTGATTTTGTCTTGTTTGTTTGTTTAATGAGATTGGGTGACTAATTTTTTATCCAAATCAGGACATTTTTGAGAATGTAAGAGATACTGTTAGTAGTCACACCAGCATTCACCGGCATAAAATTGAGTCTGTTTCCTTGTTTAATAACCTTGGTTAACAGTCAACAGAGTAAAGAAAATTCTAATGTGGTACATTTTAATCCAAAGCTCAATTCAACCTTTTAAAATGAATTTTTTTTACAGGAAGAGTTTTAAATTACTTTGCGGTCAACTCTAAAATTAGACCTGTAGTGGCATATGTTCTATTTGACCTTTGCTTAATAAGTAAACATACGTATTTTGGCAAAGTAGTCCCAAGGACCTATTATTTTGTGATCCTCCTAATCAATCAGGAGTTTAAAATAGAGATAAAATATATTCAATTCTTAGAATTCTAAAGGTCCTTTTTTGCCCATTTAACTATAGCAGTATTATTTTGTATGACTCTAGTTGTACACACAAAGTATGGTTAAGCTTCTCACATCAAGGCCTCAAGCCTGACGTCTTCTTCCCTTCCATTTAGTGAACTTTAGAAATACCATATAAAACATAGTGCTTCACTATGTTTTGACAGTTTTGACAGGAAACTGTCAAAAGAAAGATATTGAAAGGGAAATAGCATTTGGAATTTTAGAATTCTTTACTTTAGTAAAATTTATACAATTACTGAAATGATTTTTTTTTTTTTTAAGTTTTTAAGGGAACATGTTTTGCACTCATTGTTTCATTGCAATGATTACAATCTCCTCCATGCATCATCACACAACAGTATTTATGTCTATTCCCTCTGTGTTTGTATTTTGTTTTTTGTGTTTTTGGGAGGATGTACACAAAAACAGTCAGGAATATATATTCATTTAAACAATGAAAGGGCACATTCTGCAAGCCTGCCTCCTGGCCACTAGCACACAGCCTTTCTCTTTTCATCAATCTAAAGTCCTCGGCTGCACCATTTCTCTGTGTCCTCCTCTCTGCCTCCATCTCCGGTGTCACTGTTTCTCTGGATAGGGTCCCACATTCTGCTCATGCTCTTCTCCCTTAATGGTCTTATGATCCTATTTCCTGGACTGTAAGATTAACTATTAACCCCTTTTTGTTACAAAACTTTTACCTTTACAGTTGTGACATCATGTGATTAGTCATGATGACAATTACTATAGAATCATAAAAATCTTATCACTATCTCTTCACCAAACCCATCTAGACAAGATGAAAACTATTCAGTGGGGATTCTGCCTTAACCCATACACTCTGAAACTAAATTCTTTCATGAAAACTTGTAAGCCAGTCACTTCAAGCCTTTATAGCTCCCCCCACCTACCTCCCCATTTTAGGTACACAATGTCTAAGTTGTCCATCTCTATCAACCCTGTATACAGAGGGGATAGGATTGATACTTGATGCGAAGACATCTTGCCTTTCAGTGGGTATTTTGAGCTACTACATCCAAAAGTATAGGTCAAGTTCTTCAAATTTTATCAATTTACACTTGTTTCCTTCATTATTATTATTATTATTATCTTCCTCTAGTTAAATTCTGATCATATAGCTGTCGAAGCTAGGTAAAATGGGTACTACCTACAAGTTTGGGCATTCTTGTGCATCTCCCCTCATTTCATATCAGCTGAACGCTTCACTTTCAGCTCTACCCCTCTGTGGCTATGTCCTTGTCCATGGGCTAAGGAGTTCCTAGGTATCACCACCCTTTGGACCAACCATCCCTTCCTCTTCTCTCTCTCGTCTCCAGGTCAATAGGTGTCTACAGAACATGGTTGAAATCAGTCCATTATCATCATTGCTGCCTTTCTCCCTTCATTGCTGACATGGTCACCAACAAATTTACATGTCTTCTTATGTGTTCTCTTTGAATTTCAGTCTTGGAAGGGGGTTTGTCCTGAAGGGACTTGATTGCTTGCCTTGATGGCTTCCTGGAGAACAACTTGCTTGTTCTTGTAGTAGCCTGAAATCAGACTGCCATTTTTGATTCTTTTCTTTTTCTAAT